AATGTGAGCTATAAACTGTACAACGCAATTGAAAAGCAAACTGAAATCCTTTAGGGAGGAGTGGGGGAATAAACATAAAAAACTAAAATAATGTGGTTGCATAAGTGTGCACACCCTCTTATAACTGGGGATGTAGCGGTGTTCAGAACTGAGAAATCACATTAAAAATCATGTTAAATAAGTCAGTACACACCTGCCATCATTTGAAGTACCTCTGATTAACCCCAAATAAAGTTTAGCTGTTCTAGTAGGTCTTTCTTGACATTTTCTTAGTCACATCCTACAGCAAAAGCCATGGTCCACAGAGAGCTTCCAAAGCATCAGTGGGATCTCATTGTTAAAAGGTATCAGTCAAAAAATGTAAAAAAATGAGGCAAAGATAAATCATTTTAGAACTTTTTCCACCTTTAATGTGACCTATAAACTGTACAACTCAATTGAAAACCAAACTGAAATCTTTTGGGAGGGGGGGAAGTAAACATAAAAAACTAAAATAATGTGGTTGCATAAGTACACTCTTATAACTAGGGATGTAGCTGTGTTCAGAATTAAGCAATCACATTCAAAATCATGTTAAATAGGAGTCAGTACACACCTGCCTCATTTAAAGTGCCTCTGATTAACCCCAAATAAAGTTCAGCTGTTCTAGTAGGTCTTTCCTGACATTTTCTTAGTTGCATCCTACAGCAAAAGCCATGGTCCGCAGAAAGCTTCCAAAGCATCAGAGGGATCTCAATATTAAAAGGTATCAGTCAGGAGAAGGGTACAAAATAATTTCCAAGGCATTAGATATACCATTGAACACAGTGAAGACAGTCATCATCAAGTGGAGAAAATATGGCGCAACAGTGATATTACCAAGAACTGGACTAGACGTCCCTCCAAAATTGATGAAAACTGATCTTGGAGGCTGCTGTCAGGAAGGGACTTGCCAGTGGTGGTAGGACTCACCTGCCTTGTGGGCTGCAGTACCAGGGCTGGTCAGCGGGTGCTCTCAGCAACCAGAGGCTCACTCCTGCAATGAGCCATCACCTGAGGCTGATTACAGCAGGTGTATTTAAGGAATGGCCAGGCCTGTGATCAGGGCCTTGGTGTATGTTTCCCATGAGCCCCTGTACCTGCATCCTGCCTGATCCTGATTCTGCTTTAATCCAGACTCTGCCTGTCCTGACCTTGGCTATTCCTGACTACGCTTCCGCCTGCTCCTTGTACCTTGCCTGCCCATTTGCTACCGACCCGGCCTGCCCGACTACGTTTAGTATTGTTCTTATTGTTATCTGTTGGGAGGTTTGGTTGCACTGTGTTTATGTTTAGTCTTGCACTGCGTTTATGTATTTTTTAGTCTGTAATAAATTGTATTGTTTATACTTTACCTGGAGCCTGTGTTTCCCTGTGTCAGTCCACACATTTCTGGTCATACCCGGATCCCTAACAGCTGCCAAGAGGCCTACAGCAACGTAAAATGAACTGCAGGAATACCTGGCAAGTACTGACTGTGTGGTACATGTGACAACAATCTCCTGTACTCTTCATATGTCTGGGCTATGAGGTAAAGTGGCAAGACGGAAGCCTTTTCTTACGAAGAAAAAAATCAAGCCTGGGTAAAACTTGCAAAAACACAAATGCAGTCTCCCAAAAGCATGTGGGAAAATGTGTTATGGTCTGATGAAACGAAGGTTGAACTTTTTGGTGATAATTCCAAAAGATATGTTTGGCGCAAAAACAACACTGCACATCACCAAAAGAACACCATATCCACAGTGAATCATGGCACTGTTTTTCTTCAGCTGGAACTGGGGCCTTAGTCAAGGCAGAGGGAATTATGAACAGTTCCATATACCAGTCAATATTGGCACAAAACCTTCAAGCTTCTGATAGAAAGCGGAACATGAAGAGGAACTTCATCTTTCAGCATGACAATGACCCAAAGCATACATCCAAATCAACAAAGGAATGGCTTCACCAGAAGAAGAGTAAAGTTTTGGAATGGCGCAGCCAGAGCCAGAGCCCAGACCTGAATCTGATCGAAAATCTGTGAGGTGATCTTTAGAGGGCTGTACACAGGAGAAGCTCTCGCAATCTGACAGATTTGGAGTATTTTTGCAAGGAAGAGTGGGCAAATATTGCCAAGTCAAGATGTGCTATGCTGATAGACTCATACCCAAAAAGACTGAGTGCTGTAATAAACTCAAAAAGGTGCTTCAACAAAGTATTAGCTTAACCACTTGGGTGCGCGGGAGGGCGTGTTCTTGGAGGACATCATATGATGACCTCTCAGAACTGGGTAACTGCGCTGTAGCCAAATGACGGCTACTGCGCAGTTACCCAGTTCTGGGAGGGTGCCATATGACGTCCTCCCAGAACACGCCCACCCTCGCGCCCCCAGGGACGCACACCCGGCGATCTCCGTGATCACTGTGTCCTATAGACACAGCTGACCACGTGACGGAGTAAAAGGCCAATCACAGTGGCCTTTGACCACGTGATCAGCTGTGTCAAATAACACAGCAGATCACGGAGTAAATATAGTTGCCAGTTATCAGCAGCACAGCGTGAGGAAAGTACTGCTGTTAACCAGCAGCTATCACAGAGCAGATCAGTGCCCTGCAGTGCTGCCCAGCAGTACCACCCACTAGTGCCACCAGTCAGTTGCCGCCCATCAGTGACTATCATTGCTGCATATCAGTGCAGCATTATCGGTGCCTCCTCATCAATGCCCGCCAGTGCTACCTCATCAGTGCAGCCTATCCGTGCTGCCTATCTATGCCACCTTATCAGTGCCGCCCATCAGTGCAGCCTCATCAACGTACATCAGTGGAGAAAAATAACCTGAAAAACAAAGAAAAACTTATTTTCAAATGTTTTGCTTTTTTTTTTTTTTTTTTTTATATAGTGCAAAAAATAAACCCAGTGGCGATTAAATACCACCAAAAGAAAGCTGTGTGTGAAAAAAAAAATGATAAAAATGTCATATGGGTACAGTGTTGCATGACCGCGCAATTGTCAAAAGCTGAAAGATGAAAATTGGCCTGGGCAGGAACGGGGTATAAGTGGTTAAGGGTCTTCACACTTATGCAACCATATTATTTTAGTTTTTTATTTTTACTTCCCACCGCCTAAAAGATTTCAGTTTGTTGTTCAACTGAGTTGTATAGTTTATAGGTTACATTAAAGGTGGAAAAAGTTCTGAAATGATTTATCTTTGTCGCATTTTTTTTTACATCACAGAAACCTGACATTTTAACAGGGGTGTGTAGACTTTTTATATTCCCTATACATAAAACTGCAACTCAGGCCAGCCAAACAGTTAAGTACGATATTGCAGTTATCAAATTCAGGAAAGGCTTGAAAACCTTTCATTCCAGGACATAGGTAACATGAAGGGTCAATATATCAAGAAATACGGTTACGTTTTGTACCAAAATATTTTTTCTGGCTTAGGCAGTATAGAGTAAAAGTGATGTTACCAAAATTAGGTTACAGACAAAAATATATTCATGCCAAGGATGGTTACGCAGAGCCACATACAATCTTCTGGGGGTTTTACTGCCTTCCTTTGGAACTACATAGGAATTTGTGATTCAGTGTTTTGATAGATTGGTGTATTAAGCCGCCTACAGCCTGATTTCGTAATTACTGTGGCACCCTTCAAATGAACTATGCATTTAAACTATAAATATGTTTACAAAGTCAATACATGACTGGTTAATTTCCACTTGCTATTAAAATACAGTATATTTATTTATTTCAGGTACTTCTATAGCGCCGTCAATTTACGCAGTGCTTTACATATATATTGTACATTCACATCAGTCCCTAACCCTCAAGGGGCGTACAATCTAAAGTCCCTAACGTACATTCATATACTAGGGCCAATTTAGACAGGAGCCAATTAACCTACCAGCAGGTCTTTGGAGTGTGGAAGGAAACCGGAGTACTCGGAGGAAACCCACGCAGGCACAGGGAGAACATGCAAACTCCAGGCAGGTTGTGCCGTGGTTGGGATTTGAACCGACGACCCTAGTACTGTCAGGCGGGAGTGCTAACCATTTAGCCACAGTATATTTTTATGGTTGAAGACATAACAGATCCAGTTGTGGTTGGCAATATCAATAATAAAGTCTGTACATACTAAAAATACCCAAGCATTGCACGCCCTTACTTTGGGACTCTGAAGCAAGTGAAGCACCTTACATATGGATGAAAAAAAAAAACATGTGGGAGAGGAGCACAGTAATGTGACTGCCCTCTCCTACAATTAGGGGATTTTCTCTACAGTATTAAGCTCCACACTGGAAACTGCATTTTATGAATGACCATAAAATTCAATATGGATTAATATTGCGGTTTCCAGAGGAGAGTGGATAAGCAGTATCCGCTATCAACTATAAACAGACCCCTAAGTTATTGAATATTATACATTCAATTTTTGTTCCCTGAACTGTTACAGCTTTCCAAATCACAACAGCAACTTCAGTCAGGAAACCATGCTCACATATATCAAACCTTGTTTTTTGACAAAATTGTTTTGTATTAGAAGATGGAAAAAATAACCAAGCCAAGAAATGAGAAACAACTTAAATTAAAATATTTAAACATATTTAATATTTTATATTATGATTATAAATCTCTTTAGTTTATGTACAAATTACAGATATTAAAAAAGAACAATGCATTGGTAAATGCTTTCAAAAACAAAATCTAGTGTTTTTAGATCCAACACCCTGAAGAAGGCCTACATTGTAATGTCAGTTTAACAGTCATAAGTGGCTAAGTCAGTCTAATGGCACGGGTATGTGCAGGACATGATAAGCAAAACTATTAAAAAATAATTCTGCAATCATATTCATTGCTAAGAAAGGAGAGAACACATAATTAGATTGCAGCCAGAGGTTAGAATGACCAGCACTAACATAACCCCAATATATGCCATCTCAGTTGCAGCACTGGGGAGCAGTCCTAGGACTATACCTAGGTTATAGACTCTATGGATGGTGCATCTAGACAGCAACATGGCCAACAAGGTAAATGTTGTCATAAAGATGCCCTACAAATTCTTCACTAATATTCTGAGCAGCACGCCGTGTGTTTCTGATAAATTCTCTCTTTGACATTTTGTTCTTCACATGAGGACTGGCGAGGTCGATGGAAAGCAGAATCAAAGAATAGCACAGGACATACACTGCATCTAAAAAAAACACAAAAAAATAAAAATAAACAGGATGACATTAATACAAAATTGGCAAAAAGAAAAATATAACAATGTCATGCTTGGGAAAACTCTGACTAACAAAACACATACTTTCTTTAAATGCAGAAATGTTATGCTGTATTCTCCCCAAGTGCTGACTCACTTAGCATATTTGTGTTAAAAAAAAGCGTATACAAGGTTTAATTTAGGATGAGATTGTTAAAATATTTAAAAAAATTCTAGTGCAGAATTTGAAACTAATTTAAAGAATGGCTCCGTAGCTGCAATGAGGCAGATATCCAGAGAAACCATATGAAAATTACTTAGCTACCTCAGCTGTGAAACTCATAATGAACCAGTAAATGGTTCACACAGTTACACGTTAATTTGCTTTCCCAGACAATGCTTCCTGGAGAGAGATCTTGCTTCAGTTGTTACTCAAATATCCTTCAAAAGGACTTCACCACAGGGTCACTTACAAAAAAGACTAGACCTTAAAAAGCAGAGGCACTTTACTTACCTTTCCAGCAGCTTGGCTCTTAAAACATTGACATTTTACTGCTCTCTGGCTATTGCAAGTTATTCAGCTGGTCAAATGGGTGAAATACCTGGTTCCTTCATCACACACAATGGTTCCTATCAATGGGAGAAACCATTGCATCTGGCAAGAGAAGCAGGTATTCATACATCTGAGGTATTATTATTATTATACAGGATTTATAGCGCCAACAGTTTGCTCAGCGCTTTACAGTATAACGGGAGACAATACAGTAACAATACAGTTCAATACAAGAGGGATTTGAGGGCCCTGCTCCTTGGAGCTTACAATGTAATGCCTGTAGTGGCTGGACAGCAGTGAAGCAGTGGTGTTTCAAGACACAGTTCGCTGGAAAGACAAGTACAGGGCAGTTCCTTTTCCAGGGTCGGTCTGTTTTTATTCTTATTTTATTTTATTTTTAATAAGTGATTCTGTGGTGACTGGGGTGTTTTAAAAAGGACTGTTCAAGAGATGAGCTTAATGTAAAAAAACACTACCAATATGCGGTTTAATGTTCTAAATAGCCCTTTCTATATATCATTTTATATTTATAAGTGTACTTGGGGACAGCCTTATTAACTTTTTAACCAGTCCAATCTATAGAGCATTGTTTTCCCATTTTTTTGCACATATGAATTTTTTTACTATGAAATTACTTAAAGCCCCCAGAACATAATACAGTGTATTTTCTGAGAGTAGAGGCCTTTTAGAAAAAAAAAAAAAAAAAAAAATAAAATATATATATATATATATATATATATATATATATTTTTTTTAATGTTGAACAATACTTGCACAACAGGTGAAAAAAAAATAATTAAAAAGAATTTTAGTGCAAACAAAATATAACCCCCAATGTTTTTGGTGAAATATAGAAAAAAGGGGTTGCGTCAAGTAATTAGATACCAAACATGTCACGTTTTAAAATTACATGCACCCAAGATATCATGAAAAAACAGGATTTTTTTGTTACTCACCATAAATACCATTCCCTGAGTTCATTGTCGGACACAGCCTCCTCTTCTTTATCCATAACCAAATAGGGTTTAATAGCCCCACCTACAGAAGGACACTAGGCAGAAAAAAAAAAAAAAAACCTCCTATGGGCAGTCTTTTCAGGGTATATAAAACCCCCTCTCTGCTATGTGTCTCCAGTCAGTTATAAGCTGTCAAATGAGAAAACTCATAGAGGGCTGGGGGTCTGTCAATGAAAAGGCACCCGGCCCTCTCATATATTTGCTATGTCTTTTTTCCAAACAGGCCTGTTCTCCACGCTTATTGTGCTTACTGCATTTCATACAGATATTCCATAGTATAAGATTCCCTGTTCGGGATTCACCATTATGATATTGTAAATTCAAATGAGAACCTAATAATTTTTCCATGGGAAGTGGGCAGAGGACTCTTGCAGTCACTTTTTCTGTTGCTAGTGTCTTGATGTCATTTTAATGAACTGTGTGTTATTGTCAGAGTGATGGTAAACCAGGGCGAATGCCCATATGATATTTTACTGGTAAACATAATTTTTGGAAAAAGTGTCACTGTTCATTTCTTTCTTATCTCTTTCCTTTTTTTGAATGCCTTTTTTGGACTGAATGGAAACAAACATTGGGTGACACGATAACTTAATTAACAACCTCTTAATAACTACTAAAACCCCCTCTCTTATGTGTCTCCAGTCAGTTATAACCAAATGAGAAAACATAGAGGGCTGGGTGCTGTGATGTCAATGAACTCAGAGAAAGGGATTTTACGGTAACAAAAGTGTTTTCTCTTACTTTCATTGACTAACACAGCCTCCTCTTCTTTATCCAAAGAGCCAGGGGTAACCAAACAGGGATGTCCTCAAGGGCAAACCAACTAATGGAGAAAAAAATTGGAGAACTATAGCAGAGAGGGGGTTTCATGCCCAGAGAGGACTGCCCATAGAAGGTGCCAAGTTTTTTTTTCTGTCTAGTGTCCTACTACTGTAGGTGAAGTTATAAAACCCTATTTGGTTATGGATAAAGAAGAGGAGGCTGTGCCCTTCAATGACCGTAAGAAAAACTACGTTACCTAATGATCGCCAAGCGCAGCCCTTTAAAAGCCTTTACAGCTCATCAATTTAGAGTTAACCATAAATTAAAACCCTAGATATATTTTGCTTTCACTACAATGTTTGTAGCATACCTCAAATGTAATACTGCAATCAAGGTCTACATGTGCACACCGTGTGCATTTGCAGGTATGTACAGGAAGACAGGGTTAAGTTATTTATTTACTTTTTTATATTACAATTATAATTTTATTTAACTTTATGCCATCATAAGGGGAATAACAAGCCCCTATGAGATAGCACTGGACAGGTGACAGGTACTCTTTAAACCCCCAATGTCTTCTCTGTCTTCCACTGCAGATAATCAAGCACAGATCTTGGTTGATAGCTGCTTCCTCAGTTACAGCAGGCAGGAAATGACAGCTCTGAAACTGGAAAAGCTCAGAGCGGAGTACTTTCATTCATACTACTTCATAAACAGCAGAGGAGACCAGGGAACAGATGCTCCTTGATATCCTTCTGCTTGCCATCCTGAGACTGTTTATGGAGGTCCCAGACTCCCACGAAAAGTGAGAGAGCGTGGGAAGCATAGAATGAGGATTGGGTGTGTTTGGTTGGTTGGGGATAGGGTCGCGCTCCTTGCACTGTAATCGGGAGTCCAGGTCATTTTTACATTACAGCCGACAGTGAACTGAACAAAAATGGTAACAAGCTTGTTCAAACATTACACTATCTGGACATACATAATACCTCCAAAGAGGGTTAAGTCGGTAAATACTACTATAATATTAATGCTTTACTACTACTTCTCACAGTACAAGTCTATAAAGTTGGCTAACTTAAATAATTGTATTTACGGTGCAGCTGTATTTATTTTATGTATTACAAGTACTTATAGTGCCATCAATTTACGCAACACTTTATATATATTGTACTTTCGCATCAGTCCCTAACCCTCAAGGAGCATACAATCTAAGGTCCCTAACTCACATTCATACATACTAGGGCCAATTTAGACAGGAACCATTTAACCTACCAGCATGACTTTGGAGTGTAGGAGGAAACCAGAGTACCCGGAGGAAACCCACGCAGCCACAGGGAGAACATGGTGCCGTGGTTGGGATTCGGACCAACAACCCTTTTACTGCCAGGTGGAAGTGCTAACCATTTAGCCACTGTGTTGCCCAGCTGACAGAGTACTCTTAAGCCCCTAACCTAAAAATCTGTAAATTCAATAATATTAAAATAATAAAATTAGATTAACATTTAAACTCCTAACCTCCTTCATAATAAAAATATGAATGGGTAATTATGTCAAAAATTTGAAAAAAAAAAAAAAAAAACCTTTAAAAAGGTGAATACTAATTCCTTTAATAGTGATCTACACTAATCAAGGATAGAGACTAAGGTTTTTTCTATATATTGATAGTTTGAACTGTCAAAGTTTGTGACAAATGGTAACTGTGATGCCATATTAGGTTATACAGCGCAAATCAATAACAAACCAGTAATTATATGACACTTTATAATAATGGCTAGATTTACTTGTCAGCTGATGCACTTAATACGTTGTTTGCCCTTCCCAAATGTGAGTATTCAAACACCAGCTTTGAAATTATCCATAACATAGGACAAGAGCCACTTAAACATTACAACTTTGCTTTATGACCTGTTCATACAATGTTTCAAACATGTACAGGTAGTCATTAATGAATTCAATAGTTCCCATAGGGCTATGTGCCCCATCTAAAGTAGGCACTTATGGAATTTGTGGGAAAAATGATAAACATTGTGGCGATTGTTCTTCGACACCTATGTCAAAAAAGAATATTTCATGTTTTTATGTAAAATTAGTTCGACCAACCATACTCTTTGCAATATTTTGTAGATAAATTTCAGATGCCCTCTAGTGAAATATTCCGATACTATAAACTTATCCTATTAGATGGACCCCTCACTCTCACCCTATTTGAATTGTCTTGTCAGGCAAGAGGCCTCTTACGGGGACGAATTTCTGTGATATATGCTTCCCTCAGTTATCCAACAACTAAACTTTCATATATGCTCCAATGGGAGAGGGACCTGAATTTCACCTGGGAATTGCCTGAATGGCAGGAGGTGGCTTATCCAAAATATATATCAACTCTACCTTGATAGAATAAAACTTTATTACGCTGGTATTTGGTCACCTACCCGTATCATCAAAATGCACTCCTCTGCGCACCATGTTTGTTTTTGATGTTGCGGGCAAACCGGGACTATGTGCCACATATGGTGGCAATGCCCTATAGTGACTAGATTTTGGATCAGAATGTTTAACTATCTACTCCGTGACAGGAATAAATATCCACAGATCCCTGGAAGCGCCCCTCTTCCATAAGTTATCCAATGAGGTTCAAAAGAAATTTGTGAAACTTATTACCT